TTGGCCTTTCAAATTTTGTTCCTACATCCTTGGGTTATTTGTTTATATTCATCCTTTGTAATTTGACCTAGTTTCTACTTTTTGTAGGACTTTTTTTTAATTTTTAGATCATTGAAGATCTCCTGCTTAAGCCAGGGTGGTCTCTTGCCATACTTCCTATCTTTCCTACGCAGTGGGATAGTTTGCTCTTGGGCCCTTAATAACGTCTCTTTGAAAAACTACCAACTGTCTTTAATTGTTTTTCCCCTTAGACTGCTTCCCATGGGATCTTATCTACCAACTCCCTGAGTTTGCTAAAGTCTGCCTTCTTGAAATCCACTGTCTTTATTTTGCTGTTCTCCCACTTACCATTCCTTAGAATCATCAACTCTATCATTTCATGATCACTTTCACACAAGCTGCCTTCCACTTTCAAATTCTCAACCAGTTCCTCCCTATTTGTCAAAATCAAATCTAGAACAGTCTCTTCCCGAATAGCTTCCTCCACCTTCCGAAATAAATTTTTTTCTCTAATATATTCGAAGAACTTGTTGGATAATCTGTGCCGTGCTATTTTCCCCAACAGATGTCTGAGTAGTTGAAGTCCACCATTACCACCAAGTCCTGTGCTTTGGATGATTTTGTTAGTTGTTTAAAAAAAAGCCTCATCCATCTCTTCTTCCTGGTTAGGTGGTCTGTAGTAGACCCTTACCATGACATACCCTTGTTTTTTTATCTCTTTTATCCTTTCCCAGAGACTTTCAACAAGTCTGTCTCCTATTTCCATCTCATCCTCAGTCCAAGTGTATACATTTTTAATATACAAGGCAACACTTCCTTCCTTTTTCCCCTGCCTGTCCTTCCTGAGCAAGCTGTACCCTTCTACACCAATATTCTAGTCATGCGTATTATCACACCAAGTCTCTGTGATGCCAACTATGTGTAGGCTCATTATGAAAGTCAATTGAATAAGTACCATTAACTTCAATGGGCATTCTATCAGGCATTAATTGTGTAAAGCACTTTCAGATCCTAAGCTGGGAAACATTCTGAAAAGTAAAGTAGTAGCTATAGAAGTAGTACATTTACAAAATGAATCCTGGTATCCTCAAGGTCTTTATTTAATTTGAAAGAATTTGTTATTACTACTGTGTACTACTACTGCCACAATTCTTTCCCAAGAAACATTTCTTAGATGAACTCTCAACTAAATAGGAGCATTACTGGAATTAAAAACATAAAGCAGTCTCTTAAAAGCAAAACCATATATCATCCAACACTGCATTATTATGTCTCTGTAATATTCCAATTAAACCAGAATAAGGTGATATAATAAATGTTTGGCTTTACCCTAATAAAAGCTTGAACTGGTTCATTGAAGTGATATCACTAACCCAGTCCAGCTAATTGAACTAAAATCATTCTATGTGTAATTTTTTTCATCCCTTAAATTAAAAAACAAAGCAAAGGAGGCAAGGATCACTGAGTTCTTTTCATGGTTATTGCCTGACATTTAAAATAGCTGTTTTCAGCCATTATAAATGGCAGACATGACTTGCAAAACTTAAGCCCCACAGTTCAGACTGTGGAGCTGTGAATAGCGGTGCATACCAAAGTGCTGTGCTGTAATTCCCCTGTGTGGATTGCAGGCACAAACTAAAAGGTTCCTAATTCACATTAATATCATCCTCCACAAACAAGAACTCTTAGTTCACATCTTCAGAGTCTATGTGGAGTGTTACAGCTGAGCACTTCAGTGCGCACTGCTATTCATGCTCCTGTAGTCCAAACTGTGGGGCAGTGTAGATAAGACCTCAGATTGAACCAGGCAGTATCAAAGTAACAACAATGCAGTACCTTTGTCTATGCTGCACAAAGCAGTTCTTTAAATAACAAAATTCAATAACCGCATTACTTAAATAACTTCCCTGCATGCTGGATTAAATTAACATTTAAATCAGTAGTTGGCCAGCTATACTATACAATGTTACTAATTCAGCACAGTTTATAGATGTGGTGGTGTTTGAATTAAATTAATGCTTACATTGAAGTCAGAAAAAGAACCTACTAGACAGAAAGGAACTATAAAGCCATTTTGAGGGCCCCTGGACTTTTTCTGCAATATATATTTACTACAGTTAAAAAAAAGTATTTTAATGTATAAACTTGAGAAAATTATCTATATATGCCTTGAGATTCTGATCTTGGTCCTACTAAAATCAGATAGATACAAAAAGACCAAAAGATATAATGGATAAAATGTTTTAGAAACTATATAATGATCATCATCTGCCAAAGGTCATTCACATTTTAGGATTCATAACCCCGAAAGATGACATATAAATAAGACCTTGAATGATCCCAGTATTTTTGTCTTATCACCTAGTCCATTAAGCCATTACACATTATTCTCCATTTGAAAAAATGATTTCTAACATCTTTTCTCAATCTGTTATTCCATAATTTCCATATATGCCCCATAAAAAGAACAGGAGTACTTGTGGCACCTTAGAGACTAACAAATTTATTAGAGCATAAGCTTTCGTGGGCTACAACCCATGCCCCATGTAATTCATTATGCTCATCCACAAAACATAACTATGTCTGACTTTATCTATAGTATATAAGCTTTTTTTATTGTAATTAAAGGAATAGCATCAAAGTCAATAGCCCTAAAATGTAATCTACCTTAAAGATAATTTTTTGTACTGGGCCCTTTTGACCCAGGAAAATGCATTGGTTCCTCCAAATTAGAGTGTGACACAGATAACATTCAAACTACTCTCTGGAGTGACCTCTATTACAACAAAACAAGGACATTGGGTTCCTTTCTTGCCATTGTGCAGTCTTTTCATTCTGACTGACTGTTCTATTCTTATGAGAGAAAAGATATTAAAATGAAGAAGAATATGCCTCTGAATGTCTTGAGAGTACAATCCTAATATATTCAGTATCCTGCAAGAATTGGTCAGGCAGAGGAATGGACATTGTGATATGCCAATCTGTTCATAACATATGTAAGTCTGCCTCCACAAACCAAAACACATGTAGGCGAAACATTAGTCAATAGGAGCTAAAGCATCCCTAAGTCTGCTTTTCATCTTTTTCTGCAGATGTATATATTTATGATTTTTAGTCAATCCTCATAGCTAATTTTCTCCCACAAGAGCATGCTTGTCACCTTTTCCTTTATATTTTCAACTGCTGCTATAATTTAAATCTGAAGAAAAATATCTGTTTACATTTGATACTTACTCAAAATTTAGCTCAACCAATACAAACCTTTTAAATGGTTCTATACGTATATCCCAAGGTCATCTTTGTGGAATGCTAGAAAGCTTGCATTGTCAAAAGTTATCACAGTAGTTCTCTGACGGTGCCTATTCACTCAGAAAAGAGGTAGGAACTTAACTGATTGTAACAAACATGAGGTAAATCCCAGAGAAAAGGCAGCTTATTGTTTTCACATGCATTAGCAGGTGTAGTTAAACACAATGGGGGAGCCTAGGGTGTACCTTGATCTACTAACTCATGTGAAAACTACTAACTGTCTTGTCTTCACTAGGATTTTACCACATGTTGTTTAACATGTGTTAGTAATACAAGTTAAGAACACACCTTTTTTCCTAGTGAACACAAGGCCTAAACATTTCAGAGTAGTTTTACACTGGTGAGGCTACCATGACAAAATACTAGAAGTAAGAGGAAAACGGTGAGGATGGGATTGTGGGTAGCCTGGGTGCACAGAGAGAGACTGTGGATAAAAAGACACCCGGTAACAATACAGAAAGGGAGAGACATGCATGGGGTCAAGTGAAAAAAAATCTAGTGGCACAAAAAGAGGAACTCTAAAATTAACTGTCAAAAAAATGACAGAGCAGAAAGGGAGAATAAAAAAATCATAAGTGATGTGGCCCTTGAAGCAGATAGTGAGACAAACTATAAGGAAGGTGAAAGATTAGGGCAATAGCAACACACTGGTCCAGCCAGGTAGGGGGTCTTTGAATCTTAGATACTCTTATGTTTTCCTCATCAGGTCACGTTATTGGAGGTAGATTATCTGGGGCCAAACTCTGCCACCCTCACTTAAATTGAGCAGTATCTACTCCATGATTAGTCTAATTAAATTCAGTGGCCCTACTTCGGATGTAAAGTGCTAACAGAACTTGAGGAAGGGTAGCAGAATCTGGCATGAATTTCCCATGACAACCAGTCATTATATCATTTTAGAATCGTCTCTAAGTAAATAGGTAAACAAAACTGCATGTATTACATGAGAAAAATGATTAATATCTCCAGGGCAGAATGCAGAGACGATGAGCCTAAATTTCTGCATGTCAGACAAAGTGAGCAATTAAAACAAAAAAAGCCAAAAAACTGAAACCCTGAAAAGGATATCCTGTCTTTCCACAGAGACCAGGTGTATACTTTTACCAGTCTAAATCGGAGTTTTTAGCTTTTGTTTTGTAAATACTTGTATGCAACTGGAGACACTTGCCATTTAGGGTGAGTTTTTTCCCTCTTACATTGAGAACTGATTAGACAGACAAAGTGTCCATTACTTTATACTTTCTTCAACATATTGATTTATCAATTAACTTTTGCTGTGTATCGTTACAGCCCACAGATTCTGTTGAAGCACTGGCTCCAAAGTAGGAGAGAACCGCTGGGAGGGAGGCACTCAAAGTTGCATCAGCTGGCAACAGATCCTAAGGGACCATCTGTCAGCTGCCCCTATCCCTCAAAACGCCCCCCCCCCCCAAAAAAATTCTTTCCTCTGCTTCTTCCAGGGGAGTTAAAGACAATCTCTGTTATTTGTGCCACTTAGGTAGTCAAAGAGAATGGAGCAAGATCTGTCCCTCCATCTTGATTAGAAGAAACATTTCAAGGTGCATGGATTCTCTCTAAAATCATTACTGCTAATACAGGAAATGAATACTCGCTGTATTATCTGAGTAACCCATCAGATACGATTTGCTCTCCAACTGCAAACAAAGTGATACATAGTGAATGTGACTTACCGGGCCAAAAGCATTACTGTCAAAGCTGTGTCCGTGGTGATCACCTTCCACCCACATATGGCCATGCGGAACTTTCACATACTTGTTTTTGTACCCTATGGTTCTAAAAGACAGATTCAAAACAATTAACAGTGTAAAAATATATATACACACACACGAGTCAAAAAATTAAATATAAAACATTTTTGTTAAGAAAATCCTGTTATTTATTACCTTGGGGCCTGATCCTGCAAACAGCTAAAAGCATGCAGAATTTTACCACTTTTGAGTAGTGTGGAAGCAGAAAAAGAACTGACAGGAAGGGGATTGCAATGCATGACAGTTTGTTAGCAAGAGTCAGGCTAACTGTAACCCTAATAACGCGAGATTTGTAGAAGCGAAGAATGTGTGAGGCGAGTGGGAAAGAACTGTGTGAGAAGTTGTTGCGACCTTGTGTAGATAATGTGTAGATAATATGGAATGTAGACTAAGAGTCTACATTAGCGAGCAAAACAAGATATCAGAATGACCTATGTATAAACAAAATGCAGCTGTTGCTCATTATTGTCTGTAACAAAAGGTATAAATGCTTGCTGTAATTGTTTACCTGTGGAGAGACCTGTTTAGCTCTCTCCTTCTATGCAATTGATAGAGAGAAAATAAAGTATCTGACTTGCTGTACCCAAACAAAAAGTGAGAACTCTGTTATTCTCCGACAATTTGGGGGCTTGTCCGGGATGGCTACGCCCGCAGAGGCACTGACAGCTGCTACGGATCGTTCCCCTTCGAACCCCATGGCGCCACAATAGAGGTAGGAGACCTTTTGACCTGTTATTCTCCGACAGTAGTACCACTGACTACAGTATGCCAACTACATGAGAAGAATTAAACACATGTGCTAGTGTTTCCAGTATTAGGTCCTTCTTTATTAAACATGTTTTCTTTTTGCAAATACTCTAACACCGCAAGAAACAAAAGACATGTACAGTAATGTATGACTTGGCATGTAATTGACTTTTTTCCATAATCATTACTGTGAACTCTTTGAAGCATCACATTTTCACTCCAGTAAAATTCAGGTGATCATATGTTGTACTTAAATATAAAGATATTTTAAGGCAAATTTCCTATGTGCAATGCAATGTTTGCACCACCTCATTTAGCAAAAATAGCCAGACAGCTCTGCGCTGGCCGCAGATTTAGCATTTAGACTCCTGCAGTCATATGACCTTGGGTTATGATCTCAAATTTCATAAGCTAAACAGGATTGAGTTGGGCAGTCCTTTAGGGGAAGCCCAAATGCTGCAGGAAGTGATTCATGTGGTTCAAGAGGGGTCACTCTTTGCTGAAAGCAGTACTGAACCAGTGCCCCAGAATCAGACTAGGAAGTACCATGTTACTAGCTGGTTACTCTTTTGTTACTACCATGTTACTCTTGGATGAGAACATAAACCCAAGATCCTGAATACAAAAAATTGTTACATTTTATTCATGGAATTTAACATCAATTTTCAACATCTTTCACAATTCCAACCTGCCCAGTACCACACATAGGGTTGCCAACTTTCTAATTGCACAAAACCAAACACCCTAGCCCTACCCCTTCCCTAAGATCCTGCCCCCACCCACTACATTCCCCCTCCCTCGCTGGCTCGCTCTCTCCCACCCTCACTCACTTTCACTGGGCTGGGATAGGGGGATGGGGTGTGGGAGAGGGTGAGGGCTCCAGCTGGGGGTGCAGGCTCTGGGGTAGGGCTGGGGATGAGGGATTTGGGGTGCAGGAGGGAGCAGCCATTCAGCATCAAGTGTAAGGGAGGGGGTCCGTCCTGTCTCCTTTTTTGTTTATGCTAGTCATCGACTATGGATTAAAACAATACAACAGTGATAAATATTGCCTAAAATGGAACAATTCCAGGCTATTTGATCTAGACTTTGCTGACGACATCGCTCGTATCAATGAAGATGCAAACAGACTACAAAAATGTACAAACCAAGTAAAAGAAGTAATAGAGAAGATACATTTGAGATACAATGCAAAGAATGTAAAGTCATGTTAATGGGGACTATAAGAATTGAAGAAGAGAAACTGGAGAAGGTAGACAATTTTATGTATCTTGGAAGTACCATCAGCCAAGATAGTACTAGTTCTGAGGAAATAAGAAGAAGAATCAGGAAGGCAAACGCTGCATTTGGAAGACTCAAAACCATCCGGCAACTCAAAAACATCTCCCTCAAGACAAAACTGAAAGTGTACAAAGCAATTGTTACCGCCAACATATAGCAGTGAGACATAGCAACTTACCAAGAAACATATGCAAAAGCTGGATGCATTTCATCACAAATATCTGAGAAGAATATTGGGAATAACATATAGAGATAGGAAGACAAATGAAGTCAGAAAAATTACTGGACAAGGCACCCTCTCACAAATAATCTACAAAAAAAGACATCAGTGGCTGGGACATGTGCTGAAAATGGAAAAAGAACATTTACCAAATATTGCCCTAGAATGGAAACCAGAAAATACAAGAAGAAAGAGGAAGACTGCGAATAACATGGAAATGAAAAGTTCAGAACTACATCAAGCACCTCAACATGAAATGGGAAGATTTGGAGAGAAGGGCAGTTGACAGGCAAGGATGGCAAATGTGGGGTAGCCCAATGTGCAACAAAGCATGGGATGGACTAAGGTCTAAGGTAAGGGAGCGCCAGGCTGGGAGGTGGGGCTGAGGGATTTGGAGTGTGGGTAGGGGCTGCGGGTTGAGGCAGGGGGTTGGGGTACAGGATGGGGTACAGGCTCTGGGCTGGCGATGTGGGCCCTGGGGTGGAGCTGGGGATTAGGAGTTCAGGGTGTGGGAGGGGGCTCCGGGTTTGGGGGGGCTCAGGGCTGAGGCAGGGGGTTGGGGCATGAGCTTACCCTGGGTGGCTCCCGGTCAGTGGCGCAGCAGGGCTAAGGGAGGCTCCCTGCCTGTCCTGGCTCCGTGCTGCGCCCTGGAAGCACCCAGCAGGTCTGGCTCGTAGGTGTGGGGGGCAGGAGGCTCCGCGCGCTGCTCTTGCCTGCAGGCACCGCCCCCAGCTCCCATTGGCCGTGGTTCCCAGCCATAAGCATTTAGGACAAAAATCACAAAGGCACAAAATGAGTTACATGTAGCAAGGGACATAAAAAGCAACAACAAAAGCAACATTAGGAGCAAGAGAAAGACAAAGGAAAGTGTAGACCCTCTACTTAGCAGGGAAGGAGAACTAATAGCAGATGATGTCAAGAAGGCTGACGTGTTTAATGGCTATATTGTCTCAGTCTTCACTAAAACAGTGAAATTGTGGCCATAGACTAAACACAATTAATGTTAACAACAATGAAGAAGGAACAAAAGCCAAAATAGGGAAAGAATATTAAAGAGTAGTTAGATAAGTTAAATATATTCAAGTTGGCAGCACCTGATGAAGTTCACCCTACAGTACTTAAGGACCTAGCTGAAGCAATCTCTGTTAGCAATTATCTTCAAGAACTAATGGAGGATAGGTGAGGTCCCAGAGGACTGGAGAAGGGCAATTTTTAAAAAGGGGAACAAAAAGGATCCAGGCAATTATAGACCAATCAACCTAACTTCAGTAACTGGAAAGATACCAGAACAAGTTATTAAACAATCAATTTGTAAGCATCTAGAGAATAATAGGGTAATCAAGAATAGCCAACATGGATTTGTCAAGAAATAAATCATGGCAAACCAACTTAATTTCTTTATTTGACACAGTTACTGGCCTAGTAGATAAGGGGAAGCTGTAGACATGAGATATATTGATTTTAGTAAGGCTTTGACACAGTCCCACATGATTTGGGCCATTACCAAAAACACTGCTTTTTTTTTTTTTTTTGACAGCTGAAGTGAGCTGCTTTTGCAGTGTTCATTTGCTCTTGTTCATATTATAAGTTCACTGGATATTTATAGAAAAATGGGGTATTGTCCAAACCAGCTTGACCACTTGGTATGGAATTGGGTAATGCACTGTTTCAATTGTTTACAGCAATGAGTTCCACAGATCCATCTGTGAACTAAAGTCCCAATGGCAGCATGTAATTGTGCCCCCTAGTATTGTGAACATTTTTAGCAAACACCTCATATATATTACCCCTATGGCTCCCATTTACAATAGGCCATTAATTTTGCTTCTTTATGGCCACTGAAGAGGGACACATCCAAATATATTTTTGGACAATTACTTAACTGAATTATTGCTTAATTTACATTATTATTATTATTATTATTATTTACTGTTTAGTGGTTTTTATTGAGTTCCTCCCTATCTCATTATTCCCATAGGGCTTATGGGGGCCACCTTAGTACTGTCCCATTTTAAGGTACCACGGTAACTATTACACAGGTGCTAACCCTCTAGTTGAGCATTTTGTATTCCCATACACACCTTCCCCCAGGTTAGCCTTCTGAAGCCATTCCCCACCCACATCATGAGGTTCCCTGTCCATTGAATTAGCCACAGGTTTACCTTTGCTGCCCTTTTCCACCCTGTTGCGATTGAAGACAGTTGCTATGCCAATACTTACTGATTTGCTGCTGAAGTTTTACATTTTGGCTTATTAATTACCCAACTGTCCCCCAGATTTTATATACCCAACCCTGTGTTTCTACTGCCCACAGATCCTTTCCAGCAACGATTCCATGTATGTCCCCTTACACACCAATTAAATAGTTGCTTTAGCCCTTTTATGCATGCACTGCAGTTGGGGTGTACCATTCTTTGGGGTGTACCACCCATCCATGTAATGGACTGGAAAGACACGTTAAAACGTGCTGGTTGCACCCGCTCCCACAATGGCTTCCACATATTTGCCCGTCAGGAAGTATTTTGGCTCCAGGCTGCGACCAGCTTAAATCAACAAGCCTATATGCTAACATTTACCTGTTCTGTTTATTCCCTCTGGGACACCTGGCATTGCCCACTGTCAGAAGACAGGATACTGGGTTAGATGGATCTTTGGTCTGACCGTTCTTATGTTCTTAGGTAGGAGTACTGCTGAAAGGGATCTGGGTCTTATAGAAGATCACAAATTGAATATGAGTAAACATGATGCAGTTGCAAAAAAGGGTCATATCGTCCTGGGGT